GCCAACATATGCTTAAATAAACCTTAAGGTTACACGAAAAGTTAACTTTAACTTTAAACAATAGCCAACATATGCTTGAATAAAGCTTAAGGTTAAACGAAAAAGTAACCTTAACCTTAACCTTAACCTTAACCTTAACCGTAACTTTAAATAAAAGCCAACATATCCTTCAATGAAACCTAAGGTTAAACTAAAAATTAGAATTAAAATTGACCTCAACCATAACCCTAACAACTAACTCCTACATGTACCTATCTCGATAACGATCAGTCATACCGTCACCTTAGACAGCCTTCAGTATTCCCCACGGCTACCACTGTTATGATATATCCAACGTATCTTTAAATAATGCTTAAGGTTAAACAAAAAATTAACCTTAACCTTAACCTTAACCTTAACCTTAACCTTAACCCTAAATTTAACCGTAACCTTAAATAATAGCCAACATATGCTTAAATAAACATTAAGTTTACACGAAAAGTTAACTTTAACCTTAAATAATAGTCAACATATGCTTGAATAAAGCTTAAGGTTAAACGAAAAAGTAACCTTAACCTTAACCTTAACCTTAACCTTAACCTTAACCTTAACCCTAAACTTAACCGTAACCTTAAATAATAGCCAACATATGCTTAAATAAACCTTAAGTTTACACGAAAAGTTAACTTTAACCTTAAATAATATGCAACATATGCTTGAATAAAGCTTAAGGTTAAACGAAAAAGTAACCTTAACCTTAACCTTAACCTTAACCTTAACCTTAACCTTAACCTTAACCCTAAACTTAACCGTAAGCTTAAATAATAGCCAACATATGCTTAAATAAACCTTAAATTTACACGAAAAGTTAACTTTAACCTTAAATAATAGCCAACATATGCTTGAATAAAGCTTAAGGTTAAACGAAAAAGTAACCTTAACCTTAACCTTAACCTTAACCTTAACCTTAACCCTAAACTTAACCGTAACCTTAAATAATAGCCAACATATGCTTAAATAAACCTTAAGGTTACACGAAAAGTTAACTTTAACCTTAAATAATAGCCAACATATGCTTGAATAAAGCTTAAGGTTAAACGAAAAAGTAACCTTAACCTTAACCTTAACCTTAACCTTAACCGTAACTTTAAATAATAGCCAACATATCCTTCAATGAAACCTAAGGTTAAACTAAAAATTAGAATTAAAATTGACCTCAACCATAACCCTAACAACTAACTCCTACATGTACCTATCTCGATAACGATCAGTCATACCGTCACCTTAGACAGCCTTCAGTATTCCCCACGGCTACCACTGTTATGATATATCCAACGTATCTTTAAATAATGCTTAAGGTTAAACAAAAAATTAACCTTAACCTTAACCTTAACCTTAACCTTAACCTTAACCCTAAATTTAACCGTAACCTTAAATAATAGCCAACATATGCTTAAATAAACATTAAGTTTACACGAAAAGTTAACTTTAACCTTAAATAATAGTCAACATATGCTTGAATAAATCTTAAGGTTAAACGAAAAAGTAACCTTAACCTTAACCTTAACCTTAACCTTAACCTTAACCTTAACCTTAACCCTAAACTTAACAGTAACCTTAAATAATAGCCAACATATGCTTAAATAAACCTTAAGTTTACACGAAAAGTTAACTTTAACCTTAAATAATATGCAACATATGCTTGAATAAAGCTTAAGGTTAAACGAAAAAGTAACCTTAACCTTAACCTTAACCTTAACCTTAACCTTAACCTTAACCTTAACCCTAAACTTAACCGTAAGCTTAAATAATAGCCAACATATGCTTAAATAAACCTTAAATTTACACGAAAAGTTAACTTTAACCTTAAATAATAGCCAACATATGCTTGAATAAAGCTTAAGGTTAAACGAAAAAGTAACCTTAACCTTAACCTTAACCTTAACCTTAACCTTAACCCTAAACTTAACCGTAACCTTAAATAATAGCCAACATATGCTTAAATAAACCTTAAGGTTACACGAAAAGTTAACTTTAACCTTAAATAATAGCCAACATATGCTTGAATAAAGCTTAAGGTTAAACGAAAAAGTAACCTTAACCTTAACCTTAACCTTAACCTTAACCGTAACTTTAAATAATAGCCAACATATCCTTCAATGAAACCTAAGGTTAAACTAAAAATTAGAATTAAAATTGACCTCAACCATAACCCTAACAACTAACTCCTACATGTACCTACCTCGATAACGATCAGTCATACCGTCACCTTAGACAGCCTTGAGTATTCCCCACGGCTACCACTGTTATGATATATCCAACATATCTTTAAATAATGCTTAAGGTTAAACGAAAAATTAACTTTAACCTTAACCTTAACCTTAACCTTAACCTTAACCCTAAACTTAACCGTAACCTTAAATAATAGCCAACATATGCTTAAATAAACCTTAAGTTTACACGAAAAGTTAACTTTAACCTTAAATAATAGCCAACATATGCTTGAATAAAGCTTAAGGTTAAACGAAAAAGTAACCTTAACCTTAACCTTAACCCTTAACTTAACCGTAACCTTAAATAATAGCCAACATATGCTTAAATAAACCTTAAGGTTACACGAAAAGTTAACTTTAACCTTAAATAATAGCCAACAGATGCTTGAAAAAAGCTTAAGGTAAAACGAAGAATTAACCTTTACTTTAACCTTAACCCTAACGCTAACCTTAACCGTAATCTTATATAACAGTCAACACTTGCTTAAATGAAGCTTCAGGTTAAATCAAAAGTGAACCTTAACCTTAAATTTAACCTTAACACTAAACTGAACCGTAACTTTAAATATAAGCCAACATATCCTCAAATAAAACATAAGGTTAAACTGAATAATAGAATTATAATTGACCCTAGCCTAAACACTAATATGTAACTACAACCTATCTTGATTGCAATCAGTCATACCGTCGTCCAAGACAATTTTTAAATCAAACTTAAGGTTAAACGAAAACTTAACCTCAACACCTGCACATGCTGATATCCAAAAGTATATTAGCCTATCCCCAACAATGACATTCTTTGACTGTGACGTTTACCTTCGCCCTATCGATGAATCCATATTGTCATAATATCTTAATAAGAAAATTAATTTTATGAAGACATGAGTTATTAATGTTATGTCAAATCAAACCGATCTGTAATAAAAGACAACCAAATATTTTACTATAAACTATTGCTTTATGCTTCTTGAAATATCACAAATATATGTTAAACTTTATATGCCAGATCTTTTATTTACTACCAAATGTGTCACGTGTCTCTTTTGTTTGACTTCATTGAGCATCATAACACTGATTCTCATCAATGTAGCATTCATTTAAGTCAGCAAATCGAACAATAAATGGTTCTTATGATTTCATCAAACGATGGTATTTTGATTTAAATGCAGAAAAAGAACGGTCTGCAATACGTCTGGATGTACATGCGGCCTTATAACGCATATATGCATCTTTCTCAGATTGTATTTTCAAAGATATAATAAAGTCTAGGATCTCAATTTCGTTACTACTCCATTTCATAGTTAGTCCGGCTGGTAAATGTCGTCTTCCGTCTTTCGTTATGTTCTCATGTTCGATTTTGGGAGGTTCTTCTGTACTAGAGTCATCTGAGTCATCCTTGTTTTCTGTGGATATTCTATTATCATCGTCTGTTAAATCGTCTTCTGATGAAACTGTGCTAATCTTAGTTACTGGTTCTGGTATAGATAATTCTAAAGATGAATGCAATCTAAAAATATGCAATCTATGAATTGAATTAAGCCTAAATCTGGAAAGAATTTCACGACTTTGAAGGACCGACTCGATTTTTGGAATGGTAGTTAATATTCTATTGTGAAGCTTTGAGAACTTACAATAATGAACATACCAACGATTTTGTAAAAGTCCTATACACGAAAGATATGATATTACCTGTAATAACACATCGTTTGTTGCAGAATAATCGGAGAGTTTTTCAAGTATGCTGCACATCCATGGAAACGTAAAATTTTCCTGTACTGACAAATATTCTCTAAACTTTGACATATGCACTAAACCTTCGTTTTCAAGAAACCAAATAACATCTGTTGAGAACTGACTTGCTTTAGCTAACACAGAGTTTTCATTGCTATACCCTGTTATTCGTACAACTCCGTTGTTAGGCCAGTGCATTTTGCTATTGTTTGCTCTATCAGTAAACCGAACATCCGGAAAGTAATTGAGTTTAAAATGATTAAATCCAATCTCTAAAACATCTACAGGTTTCATTTGCAGCATTTCGATGAATTCAATAGCTCGCCAAAAAACAAATGGTGGTTTATAGATTTTCTTTCTACAAAGTCTTCCACACAAATTACGTACAGTTATTTGTCCGGCTAGAACAGCCCAACATGGAAGGTCCTGTGTTCTTAGATCCGATAAAAGTGAGCGATCACATTTGGCTATACGGCTAGGATCTGTCTGTAAATCGTGTATCAAAAGAATCACTGACCGAATACCAACAGCTAGTATACCGCCATCCATCACACCGGAAAAATTTACAATTTTTTTAATGCTTTGCTTTTGGCATTCATTTAAAGCCCAAAATGTGAGAGGTGGCAAGGAACATTCATCAAATGCGCAGGCTGTAGCATCATCAAGGCATAAAAAGCCTTGTTCCCAAGTCGAACAACGACTTGGAAAACAACCTCCTGGTCCTAAGTTTATTCCAAAATTATTATCTGCTGCACTGTTAGGTCGACCTTTGAATAATATTTCACATGCAAGCTCGTACTGGTAACATTTCCAAACGTTTAAAAATCCACCCATTTTACAATTTTTGGCATAAAGATCCCTTAGAGATTCTAATAAATATGTTCCTACCATGCGAATAGATTTTGTGAAGCTAAAGTCTTCCTTGTATAAGTCATTAATAATTGGAACAATGATTGGATACTTTGTTAACAGGACTGATAGTGCACTTTTTGATATATAGCTTTCAGCACATAGCACATTCTCTTGTTTGGTTTCACACACTATTTCAAGCCTTGCGTTTGATATTCCTAATTTTAGTATATTTTCCTGTATTGACGTTAAATAATCAGATGCTCTGTTTTCAAGAGCTTTTTGAATATTACCATGTAATACACCACACGAAGCGATACATCCGAAGACGGGATGGATAGAAGATGAACTCATATGTGGCAAATCGGCATACATTTGCAAAAACCGCAATGTCTCAGGGCATGTGCACAACTGTCTTAAATCTCTAGAAATGTCAATACTTCTGCCGTCTAAATTTGTCTGGAAATTACAACAGGAGCGGAAACTTAGTGACGAATATAAAGATCCACGATCACCAATTATGTCCTGTATACCGCTTCGTGACCAAAACAGGTTTTGGTTCAAAATTGGGGATGACAATGTTACGGCCGCATGTATCGTTGTTGATGCGTTTGCAGTATCATATTCCGTAATTTTCATAGCATTGCTATTTCTGTCCCCAAAACGGTGGGCTATGATGATGAATTCAAAATTTTCGTCACGAGGTAGAGAGTTTTCCGTTTGGCATAAGAGATTTAAGACAAATTCCCTGTCATCTGGTAGGACATGCCAGGTTCTTATATCAATTATCTTGTTTTTCTTGAATGTATTTCTTGTAATATCTTGTTCTGGCAAAGCTTTGCATTTATTTGCTAATGATGTCCTAAAAGATTCGTAAAATTCAAATTGCAAGTTTTCGATTTGTTGGCGGCTGTAATTCTTAAATAATCTCATTGGTCCGGGTTTTGGTAACAAAGTAATCAAAAACTGAAAACCGTGGTCGCCTACAATTTGTATTCCTTGGCTCCATCTTAAGTATTGTAAAGCTTTTTTATTGTATACTTCCAGTTTTAAGTGTTTTCGTAATATATTGAATACTGGCATCATACTGTTTCTTCCACGCGGTAGTATATTCAAATAAGAAAACGGAACAAGGATGTCTTTCAAAGAGGAAAAAGTTGCGACAATACCATCTAAATCATATTTTTGATTCAACCAAAGTCGTTGCGCACACGCTGTAATTTGACAATCACGTAGAGTAAGATTTGAGTCTCGTTTTAATATTTCGCTAGGGGAAAAGTTTGATCCTAAACACAGTTCATATACAGAATCGGCGTTTTCAAGTCCAGTTTGAATTAAAAGTCCATTCAAATTAGATTCCATCTTCCATTCACTAAAGAAAAGAACATGACATATAACATTATTGTTAGATGAAAGGTACACACAAAGTAGTTAGCAACAGTCAGTAGCATTACTTAATGCATTTAATGTGCCTAGTTTGGCTTTTTAATGATAACACATCGTCTAGACATACATTTGGTGTTCAACGTTTGCTTCTATTTCTACAACTGGTACTAACTGTTAAAGACTGACATTGATTACTGCAAATGGCAAACACATATTTTCTTGTGACATTTTTATTTTAACTGATTAAAGTTTTTTGGGGGATTTTCTACATAAAAATATTAACTGACTAAAAGTTTTACAGAGCTGTTACTTATACATGTTGACGGTCAAACTATATTTGAAAACGATATGACAGGTAATTTTATAAAATTTCCAAATGTCATTAATTTGTTTTTTTGTTTTTTTTTAAAGGAAATTAAACAATTGTTAGTGTTTGAAATATAACAAATAATGTACCACAATATATCAAAGTTGAAATAATGTCAGGACTGAAAATATGTGTTCGTTATTTGTCTGAATCACATCACAATCTTAAAGGAAAATAACTGAACACATGTCACTTGTTTGTTTTATTTAATCAGGACATTAAGCGCAAAGCACTGTTTGAAAAATTTTCATCAAGCTAGTGTTCTTCTCGAATAATTTATACATTTAGTTAGCAGATGAATTTGCTCTATGCCTCCGAGGCCTATTTGTATTCTAAATCTTGAAATTTGCACCCTAATGTCAATTTTAGCTTAATTCATAATCTAAAGTAATAAGAAAGGATTAGACCATAAGTAGCTGAATTATACGATATCTCACAACAATTCATCAACTTGCATCACATTTTTTTTTAAATAATGAACAATAGGCTAAATAATGTCCTAAATGAACATTTCTTTAAGTTGTAACTTATTCAAGGGGAGTAAATTTCATATTGAAGAATGTGGTTACAATTAGTTTGGACAAATTGCTATGAGTTTCTTTGTTTTTCTGTTTGTTTGTTTGTTTGTTTTGGTTTGTTTTTTTGGTTTGACCTGTCATGTAATGTTGACATTTTAATGTTTTATTTAACATTGCCATAAAAGCGGAAGGTTCGGCTAGCCACAAAACCAGGTTCAATCCACCTTTTTTTTTTCTTTAAATAACCTGTACCAAGTCAGGAAAATTGTCATTGTTATATTGTGGTTCGTATCTGTGTGTGTTACTTTTTAGTGTTGTGTTTCTGTTGTGTTGTAGTTCTCCTCTTATATTTGATGTGGGTCCCTTAGTTTTAGTTTGTAACTCGGATTTGATTAATTTTTCGCATTCGATTTATGAATTTCGAATAGCGGTATACCTTAAACGTATTAAACATTTTTTAGAATGTTAGGTCCTCAGTGTCTTAAACTTTCTACTTTATATTTGACTTTTCAATGATGTTAATTTGAGAGTTTCTGATGAGTCTTATTACGTCAGTCGTAATATAAATCTCATCCTAGTACATGTATTGACAGTACCAAACTCCGATGCATACTCAAAAAGAGAAAAGCTCGACTATCTCAACCAAAGGAAGCACTAATTAATAACTGTCATTAATCATGTCAACAACCATTCCCTCATCGATGATGTCTTTTGAACTTAAATAATTGTTAGCAATCTCTATAATTAAGTTGTGTCATAGATTGTTTTTCCAACTAAATTGCATTATTTCTGATTATCAATTTGATTGTAGATTAAACAACATTTAAACACAGTCACGGTGATAATTCTTTAATATTTACTCATAATATTGGAAAGTCACCACTCTTTAACTGCACAATAACAATATTTCAAAAATGAAAATAAACTCGAAAGCAAGGCAGAACAATACAAATATAACAATTCACTTCAAGAAATAGTATGCAGTTGAAACAATATTTTAGTTATTTTTGATATAAAGTACATGGAGAAATACATTTCGGACAATATTTTTGACATAATAAAATGTAAGATTGCTGAAGTTCAACACGATTTTCAAACAAACAACAATATGGAAAAAATTGAATCACGCACACTTTAAAATGAATAATGTTTTATTGTTATCTCCTGATCAACAGTTTTATTATAGATTAAACAACATTAAAACACAGAAACAGTGAGAATTCCTTAATATTTAATCATAATATTTGAAAAGTCACCACTCTCTAACTGCACAATAACAATTTTTCAAAATTGACAATAAACTCGTAAGCAAGGCAGAACAATACAAATATTACAATTCAAATAGAACGTTATTGTTATCAACCAAATAATAAAAGAAAGGAATTTATAAGTAGACGATCTGTAATTCACTTCAGGGTTTGCTTGTGAAGATTGTCTATTTTAGTGCAAACTCTCACAAATGTATGGGTTGCCTCAATCCATAGACCTCTCTGAATCCCTTCCTTATAAACCTTAAGTTTAAAATCTTGGGCCCTTGAAAAGTCAGGTAGATCGATTCTACTTTCTAGAAACTCTAGGCCCGCTGGATTGCTCTTTTTCCAGGACCATCTTAACAATAACTTTTTTTTTGTTTTTTTCACTCCCTCATCAACTGCTCTCTTTTGTGATGTATCTTCAGCATGTTCAGTGATCAGGTTTGTTGACATCGAAACAGGGGTGGACATGATAGTCATCGGTTCGTCCACTGACTCATCAATATCGAATGAGTTGGTTGGCATGAAAGCTAATGTACCGCTGGTGATAATGTCTTCAATTATTTTTGGTATCCCAGCAGTTATATCGTTGAATTTACGATCTATATCTGTCACTTTTTTTTCCAATTCCTGTATCTTTCTTTTGCTGCCCTTGCTTTCTGTTTCGATTTGTGAAATGGTTGTTTCCATCGAGTTGACAGTTGCTGTTAAATCATTAAATCCAGTGTCACATCCCTGTGCATTCCTGTTAACCTCCTTCTTTACTTCATCGAGGTGGGCTCTTAGTTCCCCGATTGCATTATTACTATACTGTTTTCTGAATTCTGTTAACTCCTTGTGTATGTTGTTTTCTGATTTTTGTATCTCATACTTAACTAGGCAATCAATAGCCTCAAGGGTTACACCTAGAAATAAATAGACGCAAAGTGTGTTACAATAGGCTAGAAGAGCTTCCTTGATCTTATATGATAACTAGAACTGTAAGCAAAAATTACTAGATATAACCCCGCTGTTCTTACAAGTACCTACTTAACAAGTAGTTGTTCTCAATGGACGATGACATTATATTATGCTAAATGGCCAAATTTCAACGGCCTGGAGTAACATTGTTCATGAACATCTATATCTGATGATATAATATTATATATCAACTTCCACATGTATATAACAAACAAAGACTAAGGAGTTACAATGATGAAGTACATACTCGATAGGGTAAAACAATTTAAGTACAGAGGTCCATACCCCATGGAAAACTCAATTGACAAGAACGTCCTACCTTCATGCACACCTGAATATGTGAATCTAGCAATATACATACTTACATGTATATTTAACAAACCATGTCAGATACGTTGCTATGACAAGCATAGGGTCAACATTTCGATATCCAAAGGGCTATAACTCATGTAATAATATACCAGATCATCCTAAATATAGCGATTTTAACACATAACGGTTAGTGGGACAAGGGACAGACAGACGGACATACAATGTAAAACGTATAGAACTACATGTACATTAGAACGTGCGAATATAACAATGTACAAACTTTTATGTGTATCCAATAAGACTAGTCAGAGGAGTAGCGATGGCATATTTCATCATGGATAGTGTCAAAATTGCAATGTTTAAAAAGGCCATTACTCATGGAAACTCAATGAACCGGAACATTCCATCAACATGTACATATGAATATATATATCTAACAATATACCCACATGCATGTGTATCCAACAAACCGTGTCAGATGAGTTGCGATGACAAGCTGTTTACTTCAAAAGGGTCCACATTTCTTAGTCCGAAGGGCCATAACTGAAGAAGAACTCAATATACCGGAACATCCTACCTATAGTGATTTCAACACATCATGGTCAGTTATAAATATTTTCGAAGTCTGGACATAAGACATTGGAATTGGTCCGGATAATGTGACAGACAGGCGGACAGACAATGTAAAACCTATACAACCCTGTAACCTTGTTTGAGTGTGGGAATAACTAAGATCATGTGAGTCTGTATGACTTACCTGAAATAATCTATTATTTTGGAGATTGTGATGATGCTCAATATTTTTTTTATGCGTGGACGGGTCGGAACCATTTTGATTTAAAATAAGCGGTTCTGCTAGTTTTTGGGTGTTTTTTTTTAAAGTAACAGCACCCACCATCGATCAAGGAGAATTTTGCAAGACATCTTTTTGAAAGGGAACATATGTAGACCATTCACTCAAAGTTTAGATTGAACCGGTTGATACCAAGTTGCTCAAGACAATTATATCTTCAAATATAGTGATTTACTATATGCTAATATTTGAATGGTTCTACACTAGTAATCTTTTTGGTGGGGTCAGGAGGGGATTTCTATATGCTAATGTTTGAATGGTTTTACACTAGTAATCTTTTTTGGTGGGATCAGGAGGGGATTTCTATATGCTAATGTTTGAATGGTTTTACACTAGTCATCTTTTTGGTGGGGTCAGGAGGGGATTTCTATATGCTAAGGTTTGAATAGTTTTACACTAGTCATCTTTTTTGGTGGAGTCAGGAGGGAGATTTCTATATGCTAATGTTTGAATGGTTTTACACTAGTCATCTTATTTGGTAGAGTCAGCTTGCTCTACGGTGTGAGTCAAGGCTCCGTGTTGAAGACCATGAGTTAAACTGTAATGGTTTACTTTTACAAATTGTGACTTGGATGGAGATTTGTCTCATTGGCACTCATACGATATCTGCTTATATCTATGATATTCTAGTTTTTGCCCCGCTCGTGTAAATGCACTCGACTCCTATCTTAAATAACAAGGATTGCTAGTTTACCTAACGAAGTTAGATGGTTTTTCCCCGAGCACTCCGGCTTTCTCCGCTAATAAAAACTGGCAGCCAGGAAACAGCCAAAATGCGATGCTTCAAAGTGGCGTTAAAACACCACAAATCAAATCAAAACATTATGATCAGCTGTAATGCACCTAGTAACAAACGTTAATGTGTACTAATTACTTCCGTTAATTGAACAATTTCGAGATTGCAAGTGTTCTTTTTTTCTGTAGGACATACACTGTATTAGAAAACAATCCACTTCTTCTTTTTAAGACAACTGCACACGATAAAATAATTTCAAAGGTCAAGGCAAAGAACATTATTTGATGACCAAGGTCAAGGTCATAAAGTTGTAATAAGAGAAAGAGATAAAAATGGTTTGAGGCTTACCTTCCTCTAGATCTTCAGGGTCACTCTCTGCTACGTGCTAAAATATAAATTTCAACTGTATAGTTTGAAAATAAAATCATTCTAACTAATTCAATTTCAATAAAACTGAACAATATACACATAGTAGACATGTGAAGACATGATTCACACTAATAAGTGGTTTCATCTTTGAATGGCAATTGTAAAATATACAGATACAACAAGTGACGATATTTGACAATTTCAAACATCAAAAACATGACCAAACACAAACAAGTTGGAGCAAACACAAACACGAATATGGGCATAACAACAACACCTTAACTTATCTCTGTAAAGCACAAACTCGTCAATCGCATTGTAATATATATATATACAAGTCTCAATTAAAAACTACGTTCAAACCTATGAAAAACCGCCGATTTTATACGTGAGCATATAAAACAAATTTCGTTGTAGGAGGGTCTAAATACAGCACAAACTACCTAAAATTTACATTAATGAAACTTTCGGTGGCCGGGTGTTACCTTTCCTCGTAATTTTTTATCTAGCTTCGTAACACAGTACACGATATATAAGGCATAAGGATGTAATTTTTACAGATCAGCTTAATCATCTGTCTTACAGGAATTTACTAACTAATGTTTGATGCTGTCATAAAAATAGTTCTATTATAAGAACGTTTGAACCAGAAACAACTTGTGCAAACATATTATATATATACAGTTAAGTTCTAGCCAAACTCTCACGGTTCTATCTGGTTACTTTTAGTGTGTTTGAAGAAGTGGTACCATTAATGCATTCCGTATTTGTTATATTTCTTATCAGTTTTGTAAAACTAAAAAGGCAGTATAGTATTACTGACATACCTCAGTTTCTCTGCTTCTGTCATTTGTGATATCCATATTCTGGAAAAAAAATGATAGAACTCATATCATCGACGAAAAGCTACTGTTCTTTTCAAAGTAGATATCAAATTAGATTGTTTGCGGTATAAAGCAAAAATTTAGAATAAATAAAGTAAGGAACAAAAGTTGCATATTTTTTTCAACATTTAATTCCAAATTATCTTACTTATCACTCCCCCCCTCTCCAGTTTTAGTTGGTTACGTGTTTCATAGTTTTTAATTATTCATGCTGTGTCGTGTGTATTATTATTATTTGTCTGTTTGTTGTTTTTTTTTTTTTCGTTTTTTGCCATGGTGTTGCCAGTTTATTTTCGGTCTATGAGTTTGAATTTCTCTTTGGCATAGTTCGGCCCTCTTCAATCGGTCTGTCGATACAGAGCACAAACAGAAAAATTCCCCTTCTGTTTAATTATAGATATGAATTGTATCAAGTAGCTTAATTTCTTTTTTTATTCTAAGACAATTCATAGGGTTCAGCCTATTGAAAGCATAAAACATACAATATAAAAAAGTATATGTGGTATTAATACCAATGAAACAACTCTCCACCGAAATTATCAGTTATAGGTAACTACAGGGCCTTCAACAATGAGTAAAGCCCATACCGCATAGTCAGCTATAAAAGGCCCCGTAATGACAATGTAAAACAATTCAATCGAGAAAACTAACGGCCTTATTTATATAAAAAAAATGAACGAAAAACAAATATGTAACACATAAACGACAACCACTGAATTACAGGCTCCTGACTTAGGACAGGCACATACATACAAGTTTGTTTTCGCAGTGAAAAGAAAGATAGACAAAGGCAGACCAATAATCAACTAGTATCATCTGTTTGATATTTTTTTATTGTAGACTTACCACTGGTCTCCCTTCTTCTATATTTCCTTCCTATATAAACCAAAGAGAACGAGTAAATCAAAAGACGAATGAAAATTGTCACTTAATGTCACAAGTAATTATTTAGTTAATGATGTAATAAAGATCATCAATAAACAGACCTATTTCCAACTAGTATCATCAGTTTGATACCTTTTAATTTCAGACTCTAAGTTTACATGTGCATGCCATATTAGGCTAAATGTTACTATGCTATCGTAAACAACGTTACTTAGCCGCGTGGACAAAGGCATCTATCAAATAGTTCCGATCTACGACGCTTTAAAGGTTTTTGATTTGTTTATGTATCCATATAGAATAGAACATCAGGTCTCCATGCTGTCGTTGACACTTGAATCGAAGTGTGGTTACACCGTGAGGTTGCCACATGAACCAAGGCAGACCGACGACCAAACAGTCCCCGTCTGCGACCCGAAATTTGATGCTACATGATATTCTGTTTTCTTTTTATATTCATATTATAATAAGAATCTGTTTTCTATGTAGTAGTTGATATATTAATAAAGTGATATGGGGTAAAAACCAAAGAGACAACCACAAACTCCTCGTGAAAATACTTGAATGGTGAGCACCAACACAGAAACTGGAGATATAGGCTAAATGATTGCTCGTCAAATAGGTCTTTTTATTTTTTTACTTTACAATTGTTTTTGCACGAAAACGTCACAAAAAAAACCCTGTCTTACATCTTTCAATAAAGTTATGGAAATGAAAATGAATTGTTCTAATTAACCATTGTACTCAAATAGCAAAAACGTTACTTACCACTAAATTTGGAAAATACGTCTTAACCCTTTAAATTCTAAAACCGAAATGAAATGTATATTATTCAGCATATGGGAAATGCTACTCTTTTATTGTCGTTGATATGATTTTTTTGCAATTTTTTTTGATAGTTTGACTATTGTCTTTTCAGAAGTATATAACTTTTTCTTTGCAATTTAGCAACAACACAAACACTGGGAAATAAAAGTTAAATTATCGTCTTTAAAATTTGTTAATTTTATTCTTCACTTTTAACAATCATTTTTGCAATAAACGTAGATATATACATGCTTTACAATTTTGTTAGTAAATTTACTCAAATGAGAATGAACAAATCTTGTTTAACTGTTGTATAAAGTTTTTTACATATTTTTTACTAATAATTGAATGTGACTTACCACTGGACTCTCTTCTTCTGTGTTTCCCTGCTGTAAAAATCCAAGTGAGACGAATAAAGGTAATTTTTTAGTCAATGTTGTAATAAAGATCACCAATACCTTTCGAAAAAGAAGTAAACAGAAAATACGATCAAATACTTTGAATGTCTACACTGGAATGAAAATTTAAGCATTGAGCCTATGGGAGGTACTTCTATATTATCGTCGTTGATATGATTTTTTGCATTTTTCTATCGGCTGACCCTTTATCTTTTGAGAAGTATATAACTTTTTTTCTTTGCAAATAAGCAACAACACAGATACTGGGGAAATATAAGTTCAATGGTTGCTCTTCATAATTTGGTTAAATTTATTCTTCACTTTTAACAATCAAGTTTTGCAAAAAACGTAAATAAAAATATGCTTTATACTTTTTTAGTAAATTTGCTGAAATGAGAATGACATTGTTTTTTAACTGACGTATTATGTTATTAACACATTTGTTTCCAATAATTAAATGTGACTTACCACTGGTCTCTCTTCTTCTATGTTTCCTTCCTGTATAAATCCAAGAGAACGATTTAATCAAAAGACGAATAAAAATTGTCACTAAATATCACAAGTAATTATTTTGTCGATGATGTAATAAAGATCATCAATTACTTTTGAAAAAGAAGTAAACAGACCTATTACCAACTAGCATCATCAGTTTGATACCTTTTAATTTCAGACTCTAAGTTTACATGTGCATGCCATATTAGGCTAAATGTTACTATGCTATCGTAAACAACGTTACTTAGCCGCGTGGACAAAGGCATCTATCAAATAGTTCCGATCTACGACGCTTTAAAGGTTTTTGATTTGTTTATGTATCCATATAGAATAAAACATCAGGTCTCCATGCTGTCGTTGACACTTGAATCGAAGTGTGGTTACACCGTGAGGTTGCCACATGAACCAAGGCAGACCGACGACCAAACAGTCCCCGTCTGCGACCCGAAATTTGATGCTACATGATATTCTGTTTTCTTTTTATATTCATATTATAATAAGAATCTGTTTTCTATGTAGTAGTTGATATATTAATAAAGTGATATGGGGTAAAAACCAAAGAGACAACCACAAACTCCTCGTGAAAATACTTGAATGGTGAGCACCAACACAGAAACTGGAGATATAGGCTAAATGATTGCTCGTCAAATAGGTCTTTTTATTTTTTTACTTTACAATTGTTTTTGCACGAAAACGTCACAAAAAAACCCTGTCTTACATCTTTCAATAAAGTTATGGAAATGAAAATGAATTGTTCTTATTAACCATTGTATTCAAATAGCAAAAACGTTACTTACCACTAAATTTGGAAAATACGTCTTAACCCTCTAAATTCTAAAACCGGAATGAAATGTATATTATTCAGCATATGGGAAATGCTACTCTTTTATTGTCGTTGATATGATTTTTTTGCTATTTTTTTTGATAGTTTGACTATTGTCTTTTCAGAAGTATATAACTTTTTCTTCGCAATTTAGCAACAACACAAACACTGGGAAATAAAAGTTAAATTATCGTCTTTAAAATTTGTTAACTTTATTCTTCACTTTTAACAATCATTTTTGCAATAAATGTAGATATATACATGCTTTACAATTTTGTTAGTAAATTTACTCAAATGAGAATGAACAAATCTTGTTTAACTGTTGTATAAAGTTTTTTACATATTTTTTACTAATAATTAAATGTGACTCACCACTGGACTCTCTTCTTCTGTGTTTCCTGCCTGTAAAAATCCAAGTGAGACGAATAAAGGTAATTTTTTAGTCAATGTTGTAATAAAGATCACCAATACCTTTCGAAAAAAAAGTAAACAGAAAATACGTCCAAATACTTTGAATGTCTACACTGGAATGACAATTTAAGCATTGAGCCTATGGGAGGTACTACTATATTATCGTCGTTGATATGATTTATTGCATTTTTCTATCGGCTGACCCTTTATCTTTTGAGAAGTATATAACTTTTTTTCTTTGCAAATAAGCAACAACACAGATACTGGGGAAATATAAGTTCAATGGTTGCTCTTCATAATTGGTTAAATTTATTCTTTACTAATATGCTTTACAATTGTTTAGTAAATTTACTGAAATGAGAATGACATTGTTTTTTAACTGACGTATAATGTTGTTAACACATTTGTTTCCAATAATTAAATGTGACTTACCACTGGTCTCTCTTCTTCTATTTTCCCTTCCTGTATAAATCCAAGAAAACGATTTAATCAAAAGACGAATACAAATTGTCACTAAATGTCACAAGTAATTATTTTGTCGATGATGTAATAAAGATCATCAATTACTTTTGAAAAAGAAGTAAACAGACCTATTACCAACTAGTATCATCAGTTTGATACCTTTTAATTTCAGACTCTAAGTTTACATGTGCATGCCATATTAGGCTAAATGTTACTATGCTATCGTAAACAACGTTACTTAGCCGCGTGGACAAAGGCATCTATCAAATAGTTCCGATCTACGACGCTTTAAAGGTTTTTGATTTGTTTATGTATCCATATAGAATAAAACATCAGGTCTCCATGCTGTCGTTGACACTTGAATCGAAGTGTGGTTACACCGTGAGGTTGCCACATGAACCAAGGCAGACCGACGACCAAACAGTCCCCGTCTGCGACCCGAAATTTGATGCTACATGATATTCTGTTTTCTTTTTATATTCATATTATAATAAGAATCTGTTTTCTATGTAGTAGTTGATATATTTATAAAGTGATATGGGGTAAAAACCAAAGAGACAACCACAAACTCCTCGTGAAAATACTTGAATGGTGAGCACCAACACAGAAACTGGAGATATAGGCTAAATGATTGCTCGTCAAATAGGTCTTTTTATTTTTTTACTTTACAATTGTTTTTACACGAAAACGTCACAAAAAAAACCCTGTCTTACATCTTTCAATAAAGTTATGGAAATGAAAATGAATTGTTCTTATTAACCATTGTACTCAAATAGCAAAAACGTTACTTACCACTAAATTTGGAAAATACGTCTTAACCCTCTAAATTCTAAAACCGGAATGAAATGTATATTATTCAGCATATGGGAAATGCTACTCTTTTATTGTCGTTGATATGATTTTTTTTGCAATTTTTTTTGATAGTTTGACTATTGTCTTTTCAGAAGTATATAACTTTTTCTTCGCAATTTAGCAACAACACAAACACTGGGAAATAAAAGTTAAATTATCGTCTTTAAAATTTGTTAACTTTATTCTTCACTTTTAACAATCATTTTTGCAATAAACGTAGATATATACATGCTTTACAATTTTGTTAGTAAATTTACTCAAATGAGAATGAACAAATCTTGTTTAACTGTTGTATAAAGTTTTTTACATATTTTTTACTAATAATTAAATGTGACTCACCACTGGACTCTCTTCTTCTGTGTTTCCTTCCTGTAAAAATCCAAGTGAGACGAATAAAGGTAATTGTTTAGTCAATGTTGTAATAAAGATCACCAATACCTTTCGAAAAAAAAGTAAACAGAAAATACGTCCAAATACTTTGAATGTCTACACTGGAATGACAATTTAAGCATTGAGCCTATGGGAGGTACTACTATATTATCGTCGTTGATATGATTTATTGCATTTTTCTATCGGCTGACCCTTTATCTTTTGAGAAGTATATAACTTTTTTTCTTTGCAAATAAGCAACAACACAGATACTGGGGAAATATAAGTTCAATGGTTGCTCTTCATAATTGGTTAAATTTATTCTTTACTAATATGCTTTACAATTGTTTAGTAAATTTACTGAAATGAGAATGACATTGTTTTTTAACTGACGTATAATGTTGTTAACACATTTGTTTCCAATAATTAAATGTGACTTACCACTGGTCTCTCTTCTTCTATTTTCCCTTCCTGTGTAAATCCAAGAAAACGATTTAATCAAAAGACGAATACAAATTGTCACTAAATGTCACAAGTAATTATTTTTTTAATGTTTTCATGAATACCTTTTGAAAAAGAAGCAAACCGAAAATTCGTCCAAACACTTGTAATTCCTACAATGGAATGAAAATTTCAACATTGAGCCTATGGGAGGTACTACTATATTATCGTTGTTGATATGATTTTTTGCAATTTTAAATCGGCAAATCTTTTCAGAAGTTTATACCTTTCTTTGTCTTTGCAATTTATCAACAACACAGAAATTATGGATAATAGTAAAATGATTGCTTTTCAAAATTCAATCATGTTTGCACAAAAATCCTTTCTAATTCGTAAATAAAGGACAAGGTCAATAAAGACGAACTTGTTTGGCCCCAAAATACAGCAGTTTTACAAAATACTTTTAGCTATGTATTGGAAAGTAGAATACCTTTGTTTTATAAGTGTTGTCTTTTTTGGACAAAGCAAACACACATGTATCGGGTACAAGCATGATAGAGTCCTATATAAAGTCATATATACTGCATCTGTGCTAATTGCATTGACCGTATATTCAAATGTGCCTCGCTCTCTACCTGTTTCTAAAACTTGCACAAATAACATTGATATTTTGAGACAATGCATGGTTATTCTATATATGCAATTACTGAAATCTTCAGAATTTTAGCATCTTTGTTAATTTCATAACGGTTTTAGTCTAAAATATGAGTTGTCGCATTAGTGCTCATTCTTAATAATTTAATGTAATTTGTATTTGATGATGATACATAACATATATATATATATAGGTGAAGAAGGAAAACGGATGCGGCTACTGTCATTTTTGACAAAACACATCTGAAAAGTGACATATTATGGCATATTTGATACTTTTTCTTTATTTTATCTTATTTGAGCGTCTTGAATGACAAAATCAGTTCTAATCTTCCACAAAAACTAATATAATCGACTAACGTAGGTACTTAAGTGTTTTAAATGTGTCCAACCTCTTTCATCCGATGTAGCTGAACTTTTTGGCCAAAATCGTACCTTACCGGATAATCTCCTTTAATGAAATGAAAAAAAGTTTGAAATGTTCGTATTTTGTTTTATAGTTAAATGTTACTTACCACTTGTCTTCCTTCTTTTTTATTTCCTTCCTGTATATATCAAACAGAAAAACTAAATCAAAAGACGAATACAAATTGTCACTTAAGGCTGTATGGGAGTCTAAAGCAAGAACGATAGAATTTGTTCATACTTTGCCTGGCGTAGTATATATTGATATATTTTCAAAAATATAATAAAAAAGATGGGTCACCGTGTATTCTCTCAATCTACAGGAAGTGACAAAATGACACATTTTGTACGGATTATACAGGAAAAAACATCATTATGTGATTAGAAGTTAAACTAAATAATAGAATTGTAAAAAAAATACGAAAAGATAGAAAATGCGTTTAGAATATCAAAAGAAAAAGATAGGACCACCGTGCGTTTTTTCCGGCTAAAATGCAAAATAGCAAAATTAAGTGTAGATTCCTTCACAAAATGCACTATTTCAGAGTGTATACATCCCCTTAACATGCCAAAATAAAAACATTAGAAATGAAGCAAAAAATATTAAAATTTATAAGTTATAATCTTATTAATTTGTTCTTTTAGGTGCAAATCAATATTAGTTCCATCATCAAATTTTGCTAACTTGATTCAAATCTAGACCTTAGATTCTCTGTTGTTTACAATCCGAAATGGCAAAGACACCCAAACCATTTCAATGTCACAGATAATTATTTAATCAATGTATTACACAAATCACTTATACCTTATGAAAAAGAAAAAAAAAAAAGTCAGGATAAACTATTAAAAATTCGAATAGACGTAACATTTGAATTAAATTATCAATAAAGGTATACTACCACGCAAGGCCTTCATTCACTATCGACTGCATGTAGAAAAAAGACGAAAATAAAAGCCAAAAATATTCTTGAATATAACTTAAGGTTAAACGAAAAATTAACGTTAACCTTAACCTTAACCGTAATTTTAACTCTAATATAAACCGTAACTTTAAATAATAGCCAACATATCCTTCAATGAAAATTAAGGTAAAACAAAACATTTGATTCAAAATTGACCTTTTACTTTAAACCTAACATCTACCTCCAATATGTACCTATCTCGATAACGGTCAGTCATTACTTCATCTTAGACAACCTTGAGTATTCCCCACGGCTACCACTTTTATGATATAGCCAACGTATTTTTGAACGTAAAATTAACCTTAACCTTAACCTTGACCTTAACCTTAACCGTTACCTAAAGAAATAGCCAACATATGCTTGAATAAAGCTTAAGGTTACACGAAGAAATAACATTACCCTTAAACTTGTCCTTAACCTTAACCCTTACCATAACCTTTACCTTAAATAATAGCCAACATATTTTTAAATACACATTAAAGTGACACGAAAAAATAACCTTAACCTTAACCTTAATCTTCAGTAATAGCCAACTTACGCTGCAATAAAGCTTAAGGTTAAACGAAAAATAAACCTTAACCTTAAACTTAACCCTAAAATTGACCGTTACATGAAATAATAGCCAATATATCCATCAATAGAATATAAGGTTAAACTAAAAATTAGACTTAACCTTAACCTCAACTATAAATCTAATATTTAACTCCTACATGTACCTATCTCGATAACGATCAGTCATACCTTCATCTTAGACAACCTTGATTATTCCCCACGGCTACCACTGTTATGATATAGCTAACGTATTTTTGACTGACAAATTAACCATAACCTTAACCTTGACCTTTACCTTAACCGTTACCTAAAGAAATAGCCAGCATTTGCTTGAATAAAGCTTCAGGTTACACGAAGAAATAATCTTAACCTTAAATTTGTCCTTAACCTTTACCCTAACATTAACCCTAACCTTAAATAATAGCCAACATATGCTTAAATACACATTAAAGTGACACGAAAAAATAACCTTAACCTTAACCTTATCCTTCAATAATAGCCAACATACGCTGAAATAAAGCTTAAGGTAAAACGAAAAATAAAACTTAGTCTTAACCTTAACCCGTAAATTGACCGTTACTTAAAATAATAGCCAATATATCCTGCAATGGAATATAAGGTTAAACTAAAAATTAGACTTAACCTTAACATCAACTATAAACCTAATATTTAACTCCTACATGTACATATCTCGATAACGATCAGTCATACCTTCATCTTAGACAACCTTGAGTATTCCCCACTGTTATGATATAGTCAACGTATCTTTAAATTATGCTTAAGGATAAACGAAAAATTAACTTTAACCTTAATCTTTACCTTAACCTTAAGATCAACCTTAATTTTAACCTTAACCTAACAAAATAGCCAACATATGCTTGAATAAAGCTTAAGGTTACCAGAAAAAATAACCTTAACCTTAACCTCAACTTTAAATGATAGCCATCATATGCTTGAATATAACTTAAGGTTAAACGAAAAATAAACCTTAACCTTAACCTTAACTTAACTTTAACAGTACCCTTAACCCAAACATTAACCGTAATTTTAAGAAATAGCCAACATATCCTACAATACAAAATATGGTTAAACTTTAGACTTAAAATTGACCTCAACTTTAAACCTAACATCTAACTTCTACATGTACCTATCTCAATAACGATCAGTCATACCGTCACTTTAGACAACCTTGAGCATTCCCCAAGGTTACCACTATTATGATAGAGTCAACGTATCTTAAAATAATGCTTAAGGTGAAACGAAAAATTTACATTAACCTAAACCCTAACCGTAACTTAAAATAATAGCCAACATATGCCTAAATAAATCTTAAGGTTACATTAAAAAAATAATCTCAACCTTAACCTTAACCCTAACCTTAAATAATAGCCAGCATATGCTTGAATAAAGCTTCAGGTTAAACGCGAATTTAACCTTAACCTTAACCATAACACTAACCTTAACCGTCACTTTAACTTTAAATAAAAGCCAACACATCCTTTAATAAACCTTTAGTTAAACTAAAAATTTGAATAAAAATTGACGTGAACTATCAACTCCTCAATGTACCTATCTAGATAATGATCAGACATACCGTCACCTTAGACAACCTTGAGTATTCCCTCACGGCTAGATCTGTTATGATATAGCCAACGTATATTTAAATAATGCTTATGGTTAAACAAAAACTGAACCTAAACCCTAACCTTAACCTTAACCTTAACCTTAAGAAAAAGAAAACATATGCTTAAATAAACATTAAGGTTACACTAAAAATAATCTTAACCTTAACGTTGACCTTAAATAATAGCAAACATATGCTTCAATAAAGCTTCAGGTTAAACGTAAAATTAATCTTAACTTTAACCTTAACCTTCACTTTAACCTTAAACCAAACCTTAACCCTAACCTTACATGATAGCCGACATATCCCTCAATAGAACACAAGGTTAAACTAAAATTTAGAGTTAAAATTGACCTCAACTA